AAATGTGACAAAGGGGACTCTAAAATTTACTAACTGTGACATTCTTAGTTCATGAGTGAATTTTTAGTTCAATTTAATAACACACATCAGTGTTTCTCTACAACTTTGTCTTCACTGAAATGGTTAATATCCACAAGTGAGATGTGGCCGCAGAATGCGTCTCCCACCGGCTGTTCTCTTCTGAAACATTTAATACCAATTCTATAACAACAGTGATTCTATTACAGAAGTGCTACAATTGTAGAATTAATACCATAATAGAAGAGTTTATTATAGTAACTCCTCTGTTAGGATATTGTAATGGAATCAACCTCATCTCCTCACTGACAGGCCTATTTATATATTTCAATAGATACATTATAGCAAACAGACAGTTTCATATTGACCATATTTTCCTGGGCCATCAGCATCCTAGTGCTAATTTTAAAATTTGACCTTTCTCCTTTCTCCAAAACTACAAACCCCTTCCTAGATCCCAGATCCAAGTCGGCCCATAACTCAACTTCTTTGTCAAAGGGGTCACAACAGAAAAAATCAACAGTATAGCAAAATACCCAATATCTTTCTGGTAAGATGCTTCAGTGTACATTAATATCTTTCAGTGTTGCACCTTAGGGATGAAAGAAAAACAAAGAATCCCCAGAGCAATTGCACATTTGTAATGATTCATCTAGTGGAACCTGACAGAAGCTACCAATCTAGATGTGTTCCCAGGTTAAAGGTTTAAATGGGGAGAAAATGTCATGCAGCATTATGTGATGGGAAGTAAATAGCAGTCCAATATCCAGATCTGGGTTATAACACAGTACTTGGGTGATTTATACTATTCCAAGGGATTATAGAGTACAAAGGAGAACACATAAAAATAGAAAAAAGGACAATAAAAGTTTTCTGTATACCTTGGCTTTGAATTGGGGTGATTTGGAAATGGGGGGAAATCCACATTTAGGAAGAGGAGGAGGAATCACCACGCTGCCAGGGAACACTCACAAACACATGTTATGTATGTGGAGTGGATATCCAGGTGATACATGGGAGATCATATAATATATAAATTTACTACATGCTTGTGAAATTTATCAAATGCCTATAACTTGTCCACTAAATCCCAGGTCTCATTCTAACAGTCCTAATTCCTGAAAAGTTTACAAAGCAGTCATTTAAAAAAAGAAAAAGAAAAAGAAAAATCTGAAGTAGAAATATTTCCTTCTTCCTCCCACAAATTTAGAGTCCACCCCCGCATCTCAAATTACTCATTCCATGGCCTAAAGATGGGATGATTTAGTTCTGAGCCAGTAAATAGCTTTTCTAGACAAAAGTGTCATGATTTTGAAGTCCAGCATATCATGGACTAGAACCAGGACATTATACTATTGGAAAGAGGAGTGTAATTTCCCCCCAAAGGTTCCAGCCCTTGCTTCTAACCATAGAAGGGGCCTGAGATATCAGACTTTACAGTTGTGAAATTTTTAGTCATAGCTAAGTCATTTTAGGTCACATCAGGAAAGGGTTTAAATGTACAGTAGATTTTGCTTATCGGTAATCACACGGATGTCAGCAAAACAGTTACCATTATGCAGCAGTCACCAATAAGGGGAAGGTAGGTTTGTTGGGCTATAGACAGGGAAGGAAGCACTGGGACATGCCTTCCCTGGATACAGTCTTGCAAACCTACCTGTGGGTTTAGCAGCAGTGGGGAGAGGGGCTGCAGACTAGATGCCAGGTCTTTCCAGGGGGCAGGGCAGCATCAGAGAAGTGGAGATGCTGTGGGCCCAGAGAGATGCACAGTACTTCCTGCAGGCTGGGCGGGCAAGCTATGGGGCAGGGCAGCAGCGGGGAGAGGTACCATGCAGCTCTGTGAGCCCCCAGAGAAATAACTGGCATCTGGGCTGCAACCCCCGCTCCCTGCTGCTGCCCTGTCCACAGCCTCATCTCCCAGTCCACAGTGCTGAGATTCTGTCAGGGCTTCCCCATTGGGCAGAGATACAGGCACTCCAGCCCGTTACCCACTGAGCTGTCCCTAAGTGCACGCAGGTTTGCAGGGCTGTAGCCTGGGAAGGAGGCATTGGGACATATCAAACACTGGTTGTACTCAAGTTTGAGGGGCTGAAGCCAGGGTAGCCATGTCTCAGTGTTTCCTTCCCTGGCTGCAGCCACAAAAACCTTCCTGTGCCTGGGTCCTTTCTTTCAGAAAAGTTCTCAATAAATGGCATGCCATTGCCAATATCTGAATCACATTAACAAAGACAGTAGAATGGAATTGGTTCCCAGCAAAATGTTGCTATTAACTGGAAGTTGTTAATATCAAGGTTGCACCCACTCTGTTAGTCATTTTTTCTCCTTCTATCGTCTGCACAATTGAACACATATTACTCAATTCATCTCTGTGGTGGAGCTGTGCTCCACATAGGGTCAAGAATGGGTTAAAGGTGGCCAGTTTAGTCCCAATGATCCCAAGAGACCATTCCAGTATCTGGAATAGCCAAAACACAGTTCCGCATCAGATGGGGAGACCATCTTGGAGTATTCCCCTGGGTATGAATCCACTGCTTTCTGGGCCCTTTTATGCTGGAGTTATTAGTGCAAAGGGGCTGCCAAGCATTGGTGAAGTAGGCCCATGTTAATTAAGGCACTTGGCTTTAAAGACAAAAGGATTCAAAAACAATCCTATTACTGTTTTTATAAACTCTCTAAATTAAGACATGTAGAATACATTAAAAATATGTGAGGATGTAAAGGCACTAATTTGGGATTTCACAAATTTCCTGGTATAAAGAAACTAGAAGCAGATATGCTTAAACACATACAAGAGGAAGGGAAAATGGAAAGAAGGAAGGTAAAGGTGGAGACAAAACATGTACTCTTTCCACTTTGCCTGCTTTCAAACTAGAAAGAAAAGCAAGGGATAAGTGGGAGAAAGAGAAACAAAACCTTTACTCTTTGGAATTCTCCTGGACAAGCTTATATCACAGGGAAACTCTGACAATAGGCTGAAGAGCATTAAGGAGAAAAGCCTGGATAAATAGGAATCTTATCCAAATTAATCAGATATGAATAAGCACGTGGCTTCATTTGGCTAGATACAGTTTGCATTGCAGCCATTTGACTGTGACATAATCATGTACTTAATTTGCTTTTACATTCCATCCAGTGGAGGGCTGTGGTTCCGTTCACATATAAACTAGCCAATACATTATAATATGTTTGTGTGTAATGTGCTTGGTGCATATCTTTAAAGTCAGATACTTTGCTTGCAGGATCAAGCCATTAGTATGCAACAAGGATTTATTCCAAACACTCTTGGGCAAATGACATCATTCATAACAGCATAATCTTGAGATATGTTTTGCATTGAAATTGAGAGGGGGAAAAAAGAAATCACATGTCAATTTAAAAATATTTAATAGATTAAAAATTTCAGCTTGCTATTGTTTCCTCTAATTATTTTGATTTAGTTTCTCTACTTTAAAAATATTTTTGCAAGGTGAATTACCTATATGTAAGCAGTGTCTGAATGAGCTCTCCCCTAACAGCAAGTAATGAGCTGGGGAGGGGAAAAGGCTTCAGGACCAGACTGTATTTTCATGAACACATTCACTCTGCCTAGGTGTCCAGCAGACAGATTTGTGTTGCCAAAGTGACCAATTTTGCTTGCTATTGGGTTACAAATCACTATAGAGATGCTAATAACTAAACTGTATATATTTAAGTTTATTAATCTAAATTTGAAAATAAGAACATAAGTACATAAGAATGGCCATACTGGGTAAGACCAAAGGTCCATTCAGCCTAGTATCCTGTCTACTGACAGTGACCAATGCCAGGTGCCCCAGAGGGAACCTAACAGGTAATGATCTAGTGATCTCTCTCCTGCCATCCATCTTCACCCTTTGACAAATGTAGGCTAGGGACACCATTCCTTACCCATCCTGGCTAATAGCCATTAATGGACTTAACCTCCATGAATTTATCCAGTTCTCTTTTAAACCCTGTTATAGTCCTAGCCTTCATGACCTCCTCAGGCAAGGAGTTCCACAGGTTGATTGTGCGCTGAGTGAAGAACTTTCTTTTGTTTTAAACCTGCTACCCATTAATTTCATTTGGAGGCCCCTAGTTCTGATATTATGGGAACAAGTAAATAACTTTTCCTTATTCACTTTCTCCATACCACCCATGATTTTATATACCTCTATCATATCCCTCCTCAGTCTCCTCTTTTCCAAGATGGGAAATTTGGGTTATTTATGTGTTGTTTTACTTTCAAATCAACCTTTGCAATTTTGGATAATTTAAGCAGTATACCCATATAAAATGTGATCCACAGTGCGGAAATGATGTGTATTGCCAGCAAGCACCTAGATTGCCCATGCTGTGCTGGAAAAGCTCTTCATCCTTCTAATCAGAACCAATTCTGAAATTATGGTGGACACAGATCATCGGCCTCTATTAGTTTATCAGACTGAAACAAGTAGCATTATAAATTAAGATTGAATTCATAAATTAAAACTAAAAAGTGATAACCTATATGCAGAGTTTTGACCATTAACTAAAATAATAAAACAAACATTGAGGCTTGATTGTTTCTTATGAATTATTAATTTACTGCAGTCATCTTCCCCAAAGGGGGAAAAAAAAAACCCAGCTTAACTAACAAAAGAAAATGGTCTTTTAATGATTATTCTAGAGACCTTAACATGAGCCATTACATTAAACTGTAGAAGGAAAGAAACTTTCGATTTAATTTATAAATCATTGATAGTATATTTTAATTGATGTTATTATTTAAATTAGATTTGTTCAAGAATAATGTACAATCTGCCATTACAATTTTTATCAATGAGAAATTAAAATTAAAAACACCAAGCAATTCTTCTGAAAAAGATCACCCCATTACAGTCTGAACATTAAATACATTTTCCTTAAAATTATCGACAGAAATAATCAAACAATTTGTGGATACCAACATAACTATAAATTGCCATTCTGAATGTGCAAAAATAATTAGAAAATTACATGGGTAATCAAATTAGAGAAAAAAAAATCAAATAGTGAAAACCAACTGAAGTTTTCCAAAACTACTCAATTGCCATTTCCCCCTCATTTCCTCTCTGCACAGAATCCTATTTTGTTAGTAAAGTGATTTTATAGTATCCCTTCTGATTAATAACAAAATGATTTTAGTAGATGAGTAAACAATGTTTATTTCACATTAGTTGCAGCCTAAGGGATAATTGGCTGGTCTCTTTAAAAGTTCTGTTTGAGAAAATGAAGGACTAATAACACTGTTAGAAGAGTGAAATGAGTTCAGACAAGTGACAGAACTGCTTTCTAAAGTTAATTATGTTTGCTTTCCCCTCTCCCTCAGTATTCATTACCTTTAAATGGAGCCACACATTGGCAGAAGTAATTACCAGGTTGGTCAATGCAGGTGGCTCCATTCTTGCAGGGAAATGAGGAACACTCATCTAGATCTGTTTCACATCTTGCACCTTTGAAAAGATTTTGAGATTAGTAAGACAAACAGGTGTCAATTTATAGTTCTTCAATTTATACTTCAAAAATCTCAAATGACTTGTGATGAGAAGCAAGTCTCAATCAGGCAAATAAGGACTCCACATATATTAGTGTCACACTCCATTTATTTCACCTCACCACAAGCCACAACAACTTCTTTCTGAATTACTAAACACTGACTAATCTTCCCTAGGTGTGGAAGCATTCAAGGCCTGTTTAGATGTGACCTAATTTATCTTGTACTGTTTAGTTTACAGATGAAGTCAGTGTTCCAGTTTGTTGGAATGCAAATGAAACATTAGGCTAGGGTAGATAAAAAGAAATGAGAAGGAAGCACCAGGAAATTAGTCAATAATATCTCAATGGGCTAGAAAGCTAGATACTTTATTGATGCCACTCACCAGCAAAGCCAGGTAGACAGATACATTCATATCCACTGATGAGGTCTTCACAGGTTGCATTGTGGAGACAGGGTGATGAGTGACATTCGTTTATGTTGATTTCACAGGTTGTGCCTATAGAGGGATGGGAAAGTGTAGGGGAAGAGGAAATTATATAGCATCAACATATTTCAATATAAATATGTATTCTGTTGTATTTAAAATAGTTCACCTATTGAGAATTTTCTGTCAGAAACATTATACCTTGAGTCTATGCCTCTAAAGCAATATTCTGATATTTTATTGTTTGAGTTATTTATTGATTTTTCCAATAAAGACCTAAAAACATAGTCTTCACTGTCACTGAATTGATTCTTATGACTTAAGGCAGGCAATTTCCTTACCAATTTATATCAATATATTAAAAAAATAGAAAGCAAATGGCAGTGAAATATAATAGAATGCATTTGCTTTGACATGGAGGGAAATCTTCATTGTGTTCTTGATAAGGCAGTAAGTAAACTCTCACAAAATGAAAGAAGAAATGTTATGTAGACAAAAAAAAAAAAGTTATATCATCGTCTAGAACATAACTACTTAACTACCACATCACCGTAAGTAACTAAGGGGAACAGATATTGTGTGACTAATATTTCTGAAAGAAATTCATTTCTTTTAATTTAAGACACAATAACTGAAAAATGACAACTTGAAAAGCTTTGAAAGTTTAAAACTGTTCTAACAAATAACAGTACAAACTATACTTGTTTTGAAAACAAAACAAAAATCCCCCAAACCACTATCAATCAAAAAGTAAGATTTTGCCCTATATTTGAAATGTCTGTTACACTGGTATTTCAGAAAATCTAAACACCTGCGTCATTTCAGGAAGAATGAACCAAGAAAATGTATGCATTTTAAATTCCTAATGTGAAGTGAAAGAGCAGAATAACAGCAGATACTAATAAATATACTTGATTAATCAGTCTAAGTCCGTACACCACCTTACTGCTGAAATCAATTGCATGTATGCACTGAAAATAAAGCTTTCTGTCCCAACAAAAGTGTATAGTATTAACCAATTACATCCAGCCTGCCAGCAAATTCAAACACTGAAAGAAAACAATGTATATTGCACGGTAAATGTCATTGCTCCCAGCTGGTACATTTATAACAGCTAAGCTTCCAGCCAGAAGTAAGCACTCATTCACAGGATGCTAAGAAGGTACAAAACGGTAATGGTATTCAAGATGTATTCATGCAGAATTAAACATATTTAAAAATTCAGATGAAGCTAAAATGAATATGTAAAACTTATCACCTGAGTATTAACTTCTAAAAATGGTGTAATAACAACCCCTATTAACCTTCAAAAATCATAGTGTTCTACAAATTCTTTGTTACCTTGAAATCCATCACAACATAGGCAGCTGAAGGCATTGAGATGATCAACACAAGTGGCACCATTGTGACAGGGGTCACTTAGACACTCATCCACCTCAATCTCACAGTTATTACCTGGAAATAAGCAAAGGATTCACTTCATTAGAAATATGTCACTGTTGAGTCACCAGTGCAACCAGAAACAACAAAATCTAATAACCAAGGTTATGTACAGAGATGTTTTACCAATGAGTCTCCAATTGCTGGCAGGGAATTTCACTTTTTGCTTAAAGGCAGGAACCAGATATTTCTATGACACTGTCTAATAAGGAAATGATGACTTCTTTGGGGTTGTTAAAAGGATATATTGACCAAAGAAGATGTTTTTTTTTAGGGGTTTCAAATCTTTGGTTTCCCTGAAACAAACAACAAAAAAAGATACTCTATATTTTGTTATATGCACTCAGAAAGTTTTCATTGGAATTTCTTAGGAAGTTCTCCATTATGGCCAAGAATGTGAGTAGCATTTTTTTCCCTTATGAACTGATATTCAAGGGAGGTGTTAGATGTCCAGGAAAAAAATACCTCTATTGGTACACTAGAATAGATGTGCATGTTTTATGTTCTTGTGTAAGCTCTGAAAGCACTCCTTTGCATATATATGAGGGATCAGATTGGTTAACATGGTTCCAAACCTCAGTCTTACTGAGCTCTAAGAGGTGAATAAAAACTTTGTGACTCTTTATAAGAAGTTTCTTATTTTTTTCCAGACAATTATGAACCAGGATTGTTGTAGGTAAAACAGGGCAAAAGCAGTACAAGTATTTCCACAAAAGTAGTGCAAACAGAAGAGACGACTCTGACTTTATGTTAGTGAAAGTTTAAAATAGTTGGATAAAATAAAACTTCAGCAGTAATTTAGAACTTGTCAACGTGGGGAAAAAGCCCACAGAAGCTGTTGCTACTGGCCACTCTACACTAACTCCCCACGCAGACACTCCTACTGTGCGCGTATTAGCATAATACGCTTTGGAAGTGTACTAAGCTAAACCACCTCAGGGCACTCTTATGCTATGTCTACACTAAGGGCAAAGTGTTATTCCCAGCTTGCATACACATAGTCACACTAGCTTGATGAGGACTAGTGCGAGCATGTTTACATGAGCTGGAAATCACACCCCTAGCTCATAGTGTGGATGTAGCCTTAATATGCAGTGTGTCGAAATGTGGAAAGTCATGCTGAGTAACTAGAGCGCACTACCAGCATGCAGGGCCTACTCTAGGTTTCTTCTGCCATGCAGACGAGCCCTTAGTCCACAATAATATTAAATGGCTTTGGTATTTTACTTCAAATGGGGGTTTTAAAAGCCAGCTCCTAAGCAACCAGAGCAGCTAGCAAACAGGAGTTTTGCGATGGAGTTCTCCAGGTGAAGGAGGAGCAACTACGTGACCCTTGGGGTGAGCAGTGTGCCTGCTTGATTGAAGTGTATAGATAGGTCTTTTTGGAGGGCCAAGTGCTGAGCCTAGCGGACTGCTAGGCAAGGCTGAGAGCTTCCAAATAGGGCTCTGGCCTGCCATTCTTTGATCTCTAAACTTTTAACAAGGAGGCAGAGTTACTCAGGGAAAACAGTGTTTTAAAAAAATAAACTCCTAAACGACCAGAGGAGCTAGTGAACAGGAGCAGCAAACAGGGGAGTTTTGAAAGAAAGTTTAAAGAGGGAGCCTGAGATCCAAATACATTCTTTACATTTAGGTCAAAGAACACCCCAGCACCCCCCCCCCCGACACACACACACACACACACCCAAAAAGCTTCAGAAGTAAACATGATGCAGGCAGATGTCCAGCAGCAGAGTTGGGGCTATACAGTTTATTGCACGGAATGCAGCATGTATGATTACCTGCCTTGGGGGCGTACAGGTGCAATCGGTGCAAGCAACTCATGGCCCTCAGAGACTGAATACGGGCTCTTGAGACCAGCATGGCTTAACTGGTAGAGCTAAGGGAGACAGAGAGGTTGTGCCACTGTGTACCTGAGAGCAGCACCCTCATACTGACCATGGTTAAGTCTAAGATTTTGTCACAGATTTTTTTAGTAAAAGTCACTGACAGATCATGGGCAATAATAAAAAATTAATTGAAGCCGTGACCTGTCCCTGACTTTTACTAAAATTATCCATGAGAAAATGGGGAGCCTCGGCAGCTGCGGGTGCGGGGTGGGGGGGAGGGACTGGGAGCTCCAGGGGCTCCCACCATCCCTGTGGGCTTGGAGCTCCAGAGTCCCCCTCCGCTGGTGGCTCTGAGCTGCAGGGGTTCTCCCTGCCTCCTGCGGTAGCTGGGAGCTGCTGCCCATGGCGGCTGGGAGCTATGAGGGTCTCCCCTGCCCCTGGTGGCATCTGGGAGCAACAGGGGTTTCCCCTGATGTTCGCGGTGGCCGGGAGCCACAGGGGTCTCCCCTGCCACCCACAGCACCCAGAAGTGGGGGAGATCCCTCATGCCACCCATGGTGGCTGGGAGCTGTTGTCACGCCCCGATGGCCCCCTCCCTCAAAGCATTGCAGGGTATTTTGGAAAAGGTCAAAGGTGTGACTGAGTGTGGAATGGAGGATTTCTTTGCAGGTCACAAGAGGTCGGGGCGGAGGAAGACGGAAGACAGCAGAGAATGGGTTAACTCCATTCTCCTGCTAGGCCTGAAGATAAGACGCTGACTCCAGCCAGCTCAAGGCCACAGCACACATCTGACTCTCGGCTGCCTGCCAAGAAAGAGGGGGGCCCAGAATCCACCGATTAGCCATAAGAAAGGGAGATTCATTTGAGCAGACCTGCAGAGCCAGCCCATAACAAGCGAGGCCAGCAAAGAAGAAAACAAGGTCTAAGACTGCAGAGATTGAAAACACCAGTGAGACGGCAAGAAGGGGAGACAAGCCTTGCATCCCTGGAGTCGGGTTTTTTGAGAAAGCTGAAGACACCATGGAAAGCCGGTTTGGACTGGCACAGAGGGCGCCAGGAGAAGAGGTCCCCGAACGAAGCACCCCCACAAGGAGCCTGGGACTTAAAACCCTCCTGAGAGCTGGAGCAACTTGGAGATCACAGCGGATCCTTGGACGACCTGGGCCCAGGACAGCACTCCCATCCACCCTTCCTCCCTCTTCTTTTTACATTACACCCAGCTTGGCCAGCTTTGGGTTGGGCATATGTGAGTATGAAAGTGGGTTAGGGCTTGCGGCACTAACGCTTTCTTCCTTCCTTTGAGTGATATGGAAGCATTTCCACCACTCTCCGCAGTTATTTTATTATTTTATCAATAAAGCTTTAAAATTTAGACCGTTGGCGTGTTCCATTATCTCCTCCCTTAATGATCCTGTGGCCTCAGACTGATCACCTGACACTTCAGGCAGATTTAACAGAAATCTGTCACACTGTGGGTTGTCCACCTGCTGCCAGTGGGGGCCTGGAGCTGTGGGAGGCTCCTGCCATTGCCCCATGGTACCACACAAGGTACTCCATGGCTCCTTGCCTCCACAAGCGGCAGGGGACCCTGCAGCTCCTAACCAGCACTGGCTGAAGTCACGGAGGTCTTTGGAAGTCACGGATTCCAGAGTAGGGAGAAGTAAATAAGCAGGGATCTGTAGTGGGACCAGTCCTGTTCAACTTAGTCATAAATTATATGGAAACAGAGATAAACAATGGAGTGGCAAAATTTGCAGATGATACAGAATTACTCAAGATAGTTAAGTCCAAAGCAGACTGCCAAGAGTTACAAAGGGGTCTTAGAAAACTTGGTGACTGGGCAAGAACATTGCAGATGAAATTGAATGTTGATAAATGCAAAGTAATTCATTGCGGAAAACATAATCCCAACTATACATACAAAATGATGGAGTCTGATACTATGTGTACACTGCACTTCCATTGGTAAAACTTTTGTCAATTGAGATATAAAAAAACCACATCCCTGACCGACAAAAGGTTTACCGATGAAAAGTTCCGATGTGGACAGCCCTTTGTAGGCGGTAGATGCTCTCTCGCCGATAAAGCTACCGCCACTCATTGGGGGTGGTTTCATTTTGTCGCCGGGGAGCGCTCTCCTGTCGACAAAGAACTGCTACACTGTGAACCTTACAGCAGCAGTACTGTAGGGGCACAGCTGTACCACTGTAACTTGCGCTGTGTAGACTAGTCTAAATTAGCTCTTACCACTCAAGAAAGATCTTGGAGTCATTCTGGATATTTCTCTGACAGTACCCACACAATGTGCAGCAACAGCAGTCCAAAAAGCTAACAGAATATTAGGATCCATTAGGAAAGGGATAGATAATAAGACAGTAAATATCATAATGCCGCTGTATAAATCCACGGTATGCCCACAACTTGAATACTGCATGCAGTTCTGGTTACTCCATGTGATGCTGGCAAACCAGGTGCCAGCTCAGGTCAAAACCCCAAGCTAAATCATGTATGTGTTAGGATAGATCAAACTGTTAAATGTATAAGTGTATATCAGATGTTTAAACCTCAAGAAAATTAGTGGAATGTTAGTTGTATTATTTTCACTTATCTGTCCTGTGATGCAGCAGGAGAGTGATTGAGGGGAGGTATATAAACTCCAGGATGATCAGGCCCTTATTCTCTGTGGACTGAAGAAAGGTTACTACAGGTTAATTAGAGCACCTGTAGCCAATTATGTAGCTCATACCCCCCCCCCACTGAATGGGGGAGAAGGGAATGGAGAGCTGACTGTAGTTTGGGGGAGTACTGTTATTGAACAGAGGATCAGAGTAACAGAGGAAGGGAAACCTTGCCCAAGGAGATCAGAAGGACTCTTCTGGCACAGAAGATAGAGACACCCCTCCACTCTCCCCGCCAAGGGGAAAGAGGGTAAGAAGCCCACAAAGCTGAAGGGACTGAGACCCAGAGTAGGGGGCAGACCAGGTCCCTTCCCTACACCCCTTGTGTCCCCCACCAGGGCACTGGCAGAGCTGTCAATGATCAAGGATAGCGGCAAGGGGTGTCACTCTGACCCATCACACAAAGGAAAAGTACGGGACCTACCATAATAGCATTGACCATTTGCCACAGTCCCTGTTATAATGTAACGGCAAACATTTACATGGTGTATACCCATGTGATTAAATAACCCATCAAAGAAATCTTTTGAAATGCTAATGAAGGACTTACAGACTAACAGAAAATACTAACTTCAAAGCAAGAAGCCATTACGTGATGGTCAAAAGGCCAAGTGTATTCCTCACTCATTGTCATCAAAGGAAAAGCCCACATGGGTAAACACTGTCAGCTTGTTTTCTGTATGAAGATACTGTAAATATGGAATTCAAAGAAAGATCCTTTATGCCTGGACTGTTTGTATTCTGACAGGGTAGAATAACATAAGAATAGCCATAGTGGGTCAGACCAAAGGTCCATCTAGCCCAGTATCCTGTCTTCCGACAGTGGCCAATGCCAGGTGCCCCAGAGGGAATGAACAGAACAGGTAATCATCAAATCATCATCCCCTGTCGCCCATTCCTAAGTTCTGGCAATGAGAAGATGGAGATCCCCAGAGTTATTCTGGGTAACCCTGAGAGACTTTTGGGAAACTAGCTGAGTACTACATCTCTGTTACCATTTGGAATTACAGACTGACTCAGCTGTACACATATTTTACCTGCTTTAACCTCTTAATAACTCTCATTGTCTGAGTGGCAAGATAGGCTGGAGAGTCTAAAGGGCCTGCCTGTGACTCCATGGTAAGACTGGTATAGTGATCCATGAGTTAACATTTTTTACTGACTTGGTGAAATCTAATTATATTACACACCACTAGTTTGGAGTGTCTGCCCTTATTTTCTGACAATGTGACCTGAAGCAAGCACTCAAAGTTGTGAGCCACTCCAGACAGCATGAACCCCATTTTAAAAAAAGATATATATTAGAATTGGAAAAGGTACAGAGGAGAGCAACAAAAATGATTAGGGGCATGGAACAGCTTCCATGTGAGGAGAGATTAAAAAGACTGGGACTGTTCATCTTGGAAAAGAGATGACTATGTGGGGATATGTTAGTGGTCTATAAAATCATGATTGATGTGGAAAAAGTGAATAGGGAAGTGTTATTTACCCCTTTACAGAACACATTAGCAAGGCATCACCCAATGAAATTAATAGGGAACAGTTTTAAAACAAAGAAAAGGAAGTTTTTCTCCACAAAATATACAGTCATCCTGGGGAACTTGTTGCCAAGGGATATTGTGAGGGCCAAAATTATAACTAGGTTAAAATAAGTATTAGGCATGTTCATGGAGAATAGGTCCACCATTGGCTTTTAGCCAATGTGGTCAGGGATGCAACTCCATGCTCTGGGTGTTCCTCAGCCTTTGACTACTAGATGCTTGAACAGGACAACAGAGGACAGATCGTTTGATAATTGCCCTGTTCTGTTCATTCTTGGTAAAGCATCTAGCATTAGTCACGGTCAGAAGACACTGGGCTAGATGGACCACTAGTCTGACCCAGCATGGTTGTTCTCATGTTCTTATATATTATGAAAATAATAAACAAACCAGCTGTAATACTGAGGTTTGATGTTTGACTGCTGTACTAGAATAGTAATTTTAAAAAACAACAAACAAAAAATAAACAATGTATCAGTTATGAAAAGAACAGTTAGTCACCTACAGCAGCTGTGATTTTTCAAGATGTTCTGCACACGTGGCTTCCACTCTTGGTGCGCGTGTGCCCCACTCATAGGAGAGAAGTTTCTCTAACCAGCTTAATCCACTAGGACAGCGCATGTGCCCTGCCTGCCTTGCTGCCCCCACTCCTGAGAGCATAAACAATGGAACCACCTCAGCTACTACTCAGTTCCTTCACTGCCCTGAATCTGGATCCAAGATTCTGAGCTGTGGAGAAGGAGGTTAGGTCACAGGATCCACATATACTGAACATCTTGAAGAGTCACAGTCACAGTGAGGTAAGTATCATGATTTCTTTCCATGATTTCTTTCCATGTTTGCTGAGGGTAAGACAAAAAGAAATCAGTTTAGCGTGCAGCAAAGGAGATTTAGGTTAGATATTAAGAAAAAACTTTCTAGCTATAAAGGTACATAAGCATTGGGACTGGCTACCTAGGAATGGTTTGCAATCCTCATCACTAGATATTTTTAAGAACAGTCCATAAGAACTGATCACATATTTCAAGGCACAATTCAAGGTGATGTGGCCCATTAACACCCCTCAAGTCACTGGGGAGGGGGGAGGCAGAGGTGGGGGAATGCTATTGGGTTATATAGATTGTTGTTATAAGCCATAAATCCACTGGCTCTAATCAGTCCATGATTTTTAGTGTCTAGCAAAGTTATCAATTTAAGCTCCCAGGCTCATCTTTTAAAGTGTTGGGCAGGTGCCTTTGAGGATGCGGACTGATAGGTCAGATATAGAATGATCACATTCTAAGACAGGTATCTCTCCCTTTTCATTGTATAGGGAGCTGGGCATCTATCTTGGCTTTGTGGATTTCAGTGTTGTTCCATAATTCTCTAGCCACCAAAAAGTTTGGCACTGTGACGGTCCTAACAGTTGCAACACCTAAGTCCCTTCATGGATCCCATCCATAATACCTAAACTGGTATTAAACACCAGTTATTGCAGTGGAATACTCTCTTGCAGTCTGTAGACTCTACAACTGGGTAGGCTTGTGTGCGAGTAAGCAGAGGCTGCTTTCACCTTTTTTTTACCCCTTTCAGAATGGAGAGGGGTAACTAGTGGTGTTCCCCAAGGGTCAGTCCTAGGACCAATCCCATTCAATTTATTCATAAATGATCTGGAGAAAGGGGTAAACAGTGAGGTGGCAAAGTTTGCAAATAAAACTAAACTGCTCAAGATAGTTAAGACCAAAGCAGACTGCGAAGAACTTCAAAAAGATCTCACAAAACTAAGTGATTGGGCGACAAAATGGCAAATGAAATTTAATGTGGATGAAAGTAAAGTTCTGCACATTGAAAAAAATAACCCCAACTATACATACAATATGATGGGGTCTAATTTAGCTACAACTAATCAGGAGAAAGATCTTGGACTCATCGCGGATAGTTTTCTGAAGACGTCCACGCAGTGTGCAGTGGCAGTAAAACAAGCAAACGGGATGTTAGGAATCATTAAAAAAAGGGATAGAGAATAAGACGGAGAATATCTCATTGCCCTTATATAAATCCATGGTATGCCCACATCTTGAATACTGTGTACAGATGTGGTCCCCACTTCTTAAAAAAGATATACTGGCATTAGAAAAGGTTCAGAAAAGGGCAACTAAAATGATTAGGGGTCTGGACCAGGTCCCATATTAGAGAAATTAAAGAGGCTAGGACTTTTCCGCTTGGAAAAGAGGAGACTAAGGAGGGATATGATAGAGGTATATAAAATCATGGGTGGTATGGAGAAAGTGAATAAGGAAAAGTTATTTACTTGTTCCCATAATATCAGAACTAGGGGCCACCAAATGAAATTAATGGGTAGCAGGTTTAAAACAAATAAAAGGAAGTAGTTCTTCACTCGGTGCACAGTCAACCTCCCTGCCTGAGGAGGTCGTGAAGGCTAGGACTGTAACAGGGTTTAAAAGAGAACTGGATAAATTCATGAAGGTTAAGGCCATTAATGGCTATTAGCCAGGATGGGTAAGGAATGGTGTCCCCAGCCTCTGTTTGTTAGACGGTGGAGATGGATGGCAGGAGAGAGATCACTAGATCATTACCTGTTAAGTTCACTCCCTCTGGGGCACCTGGCATTGGCCACTGTCGGTAGACACGATACTGGGCTGGATGGATCTTTGGTCTGACCCAGTATGGCCATTCTTATGTTCACCTAATCAGACTCACACGGCTAAATTGCATATTACTAGTCCTGAATTACCTTATTTTCTGTGGTTTCGGACTACTTAGTCTCTGCTCAAGAACAGATGGTAAGCCATGCACTCCAGCCAAGTCTTTGATGTGCGGCTTCCAGGAGAAGTCATTTACTACTGTATATCAGTTTTCTTCCATGTTAACGATTAGTTTTCAGTTACTGTCAGGGCTGAACCTACCTATAAAACCAGGTGCACAGAAACAAAGATAGCCATCCAATTTATCTTTGCAAATGCTGAGTACTCCACAAGGTTGTGACAGGCAATCATCAATGTTTACTTCACAAAACTGACCAGTAAACCCTGTCAAAATAAAAAAGTGAACAAAAATTAAATTTAGAGCAAAATACAAGTAAAATTATTATCATTTTTTATCCAAGAAGACAAACATAAATGAGATATGGACCTGTTCCTGACATTTTGTTTTACGTGGCTTTCTAGTCATTACTTATATCCTTTCAAATTCTATCTATGGTACGATAAAATACTTTGCCCTTTCAGCACTTCTCAGGCAAATGAATCCCAGATACTTTTCAAATGTGTATAATGTAAAGCAGCATGCAAAAGCATGGCTACTTTTAATAATCACATAACTTCCACATATGCTAGGTGCTGTCAGTATCTTGTTAGCAAAGAGTGTTTGGAATCTCAGCTTCTCCAAGGGATTTTATAAAGATATACTCTTACTGAATATTATGTGCCAAATTTCTATAAAAATAAACATTTGGGGCCAGATCTTAGCCTAAGTTAACGGCATTTTGTGCCTTAAACAACCTTAAAGCTGTCCTAAAGATGCAACTGAGATTATCCTGCTCTGAGAGAATCCTTAGTTGGTACAAATATGACATAGCTGACTTTATGTCAATAACTCCCAGCCCCAGAAGATAGGGTGCTTTTTGGGTTAATGGCTAAAGCATTTTGCAAGTTAGGAATCCTCACTTGTATAACAGTCTCTAGAGGGGCAATTATAAGCAAGCTCACTAAACTGCACTAACTTACACTGGCAGCCATTTTGGTTTCTGGATCAGGGGACAGAAAGATATCTTAGGACTTAGGGCTACATTTACTTTCCCTCTGACACAGCTGGAAATTGCATCCTTAGTGATTATTTCATACTGAACATTAAAGAATTTCATACTGAACATTAAACTGCTTGCTTCTGTAAGTAGATATTACCATGATTGTTGAAGTATTCCCTAACATTCACATAAACAAAATTAATATGAGGATGGAATATCATAGTAACATTAATCAATAGCAAATATTTTATTGGTGATGACTGTATGTATTAATGACGATTTTAAAAAATCAGCTTATTATCTCAAAATCTTAAAATGCACAGATTTTTGTTTAGCTAGTATAAAACTGAGACCTAAATACTTAAAAGAAAATACTGCCACATTTACACTACATGAAAAAACAGAGTAGAGTTTGGGACCATAAAACAAAAGTGACACAGATAGATATTTGCAAAAAGTTTGTCAGCAAAACAGAATCAGCAGGAACGCTTAAGATCATATAAAGATGGTATAAATTATATACCATCATATAAAGATTGAATAAAAATTCAATTAACAGCCACTTATATAATTCCCCCTATAACCCATCAATACATACTTGACATTATAATTTATTTATTTTCCAGAGGTGTCCCATTTAAATTCTTCAGGTATTTTTTTTTTTTTGACAAGCCCAAATGCTTCATGGCAAAAGTGATTCTTATCCACCAAACTGCGATACTTAAACTCCCCAGGGAGATCCTCACAGTTTCATTCATTCAATTCATTCTGACATGGTCCATCTACACAATGACTTACAGGAATTTAACAACATTGTCCCTTATATCCTAGATGTCAGATACTTCTGAAGCTATGTATTAGAGCTTCACAATAAAGGCTACTGTCTGGGTCACAAGGATTAGACGTACATTCATTCGCTGCTACTAAACAGCTATCACCAATAAAAAACTTAAAATAATGTTAAATAGTCACTATCAAAATTAGGACTAGAAAAACCTAAATAGAACTGAAGGTTCTGATAAATCCACAAGTTGGGGCTTGATCCAAACACCAATGAATTCCTCAGAACAAATCTGTATCATCACTGAAATCCTTGTACTTTAACTGGTGGCCATGTTCTTCCCAAGTGCTAAATCTACTCCCCTAAAAAAAAATAAAAACAATCTTGAAAGAGATTAAATATTTTTACAACCAAGGAGTATGGATTCCAGACCTGAATGCCCCAAAAATTCAGGTGCATTTGGATTTGGGGATGTCTATGATACCTTGGCAGTTGGTTAGCTGTTAACTTCTATATAAAACCACATAAATCATTATTGTAGCAATGTGTAGATACAAAAACAACAACAATGGCCATCACCGCCACCACCAGCCAAAACCGTGTGAGCAGCAGCCTGCCTCAAATGAAGGGGAACTTAAGGGCAAATTTTTGGAGCAAGCGCATCCTTTCAGGAGACAGGCCACAAATGCCAATAGCACCACATGCATACTGTCAGGTGTCTGCAAGATTCTGCAACCCAGCTGACTCTTTCTGAGTGCATTGAGAAAGGCCAAAAATACTAACAGGAGCTACCTATTTAGGTTTTTACAATTTGCCCCTCAGTGTAGAATCCTAGATCATCGCCCAGTCCCTGTTATTCAATGCTGCCTGTGGAAAGATGTTGGTGTTTGATCTTATTTAAATCTCCAACATAGAAGTCAAGGATTCCAAAACTGGTGGTTGCTCTTGCTCCATCATGGCAACTGCTAAGATTCCTCCCCCCGCCCCCAGAACTGTTTTGCTAGAGTTTTTCAGAATAGTGAGGGAGACAGTATAGCATCCCTTATGAGCACAAAGGACATATACCTGAATTCTGAAATAGAGACCTGTGGTCAAAAGACTGATTATATATCCATTAACTTATTACATATTCATTAGCAAATTTTGGATCAGCCTTCACAGTTGCATCATTTTCCAGCAAACCACACTGCCCATATGTGGACTGGGTAAGCAACACGCTGCCAGGGATATTATAGGTGGCACAGTTAGCAACACCTATAGTTAAGTTGGGCAGACACTTTCTGAGACCCTACTTTCAGTTGCTTATAACTTTGCCAAACTTTGACCACTCAGACTGAAATCTCCAATGTTGGGTATCTGCCACAGGCACAATTTTTTGGAAAGTTTGAGCTAAAATGTTTCAGTCATTTCTCAGAATGAGATAAGGAGAAAATACATTGTTTTGGCTACATTAAAAAAAAAATCTTATCACCACTTCATTCAGAACTCCAGCACATCTATGCTTTGGAAAAGAGACTTGAAAAATGCATGATGCAGATGCAGGGGACCAAATTAAGTTCTTTATATCATTTCTTAACTTTTGAGTGCTTGAATTTGTAAACTTAATATTCTTATACCTTTTTTATGTAATATTAAATAAACTGCATGCTGTCACAGAAGAGTAGTTAAAGAACTTTTCTCTCCCATTGGGTTCATGTTCTCCCATAACAAGAGGAAGACAAGCATGAGGCCATTTACCTCAAGCACTCTCCTTCCTGGACATCCCAATTTGGTACAGAAAAACATTCTCAATCAGGCCTGAAAGTCTGTGTCCATTTTATTTGGTTTTATGTTGCACAAAGAATTCCCCCAGGGTTTCAGTTAAAGCACAGATTTTTCTGCAACCAGATGAAGCAGGAGGTTGTGATGTAGTGGAAATCCACACTTCATCCAATAGGCCCATTCTACAGGCAGTAGCCACCCAGTTTTTCTATATGCATACACTACAATACCCCAGCATGTATTTTGTACCATAATTCTGGTCACTAGTGGGTACTGTCTGTGTGACATTATGATAGCCTTGTATAATGGAAAATGACTCATCTCACACAGCAGAGCATTTCTGGTGGAAATATTACTAGGGTAATTTCCTTCACTACAAATATTTCCTCTATTCCTTCAGTCTGGCTTCTGGCCCTTGCACTTCATTAAAATTGTTCTCACGAGTGTCTAAGGACCTCTTCCTAGCCAAAGATTAGAATCAGTACTCCATTCTCATCCATCATAATCTGCTGGCTAACGTTGACACAGTTGACCATACTTGTCTTTTTGAAATCTAATCCGCCCCTGGATTTCATGAATTTGTCCTTTCCTGGTTCTCCTCCAACTTCTCTAACCACTCCTTCAATGTTTTGTTTGAAGAATATTTCTCATCCCCCCTGTAGCTTTCTGTGGGAGCTCAATCCTTGACCCTTCCCTTTTCTCCCTCTAGCTTGTCTCTGGGCAATCTCATTCTCAAATACAATCTCATCTGTCATCTCTGTGCTGATGACTCACGGGTCGACCTTTCTGTTTTGTACCTATCTCTTTCTGACCAAGTTAAAATCTCAGTCTGACATCTCATCATAGATATTCAGCTGTTAATTTAAGTTCAACATGACCAAACTAAACTCTTAGTCTTTTCCAGCCAAGCTCTTCCCATTCTCAGTCACCATGAACACCACCACCATACTCTCTGTCACTCAGACCCACAACTTGGGTGTATCTGTGACTCAGCCCTTTCCAGAGAACTTCCAGATCATGTCTAAATCCTGCTGTTTATTCCTGTATCACATCTATATACCCATCCTTTCCTCACTGTCTATCAAATAAATCTCTTGTTCAGACTCTCACAATCTCACATCTGAACAACTGTGTGTTTCCTCCTCTCTAGACTTGACAAACAATCTTATCCCACTTATGCCCATTCAAAATTCTGTCACAAAGATCACTTTCCAGGTTAGTCATTCATGCTTCTTACCTTTCTCTTTGCATTCTGACCACCGTCTCCACCTTTTCCACCACATTAAACATAAAACTAGCCTTTGTTTCCAAGGCACCTTCATGGTCTATACCCAAAATATCTATCATGATCGATATGCCATTAAGACATTAATTACCCATGTATGCTCCGCCAATGTCATCAGCTCTCACCACTCATTTCTTACATTTTCGAACAAACACCCTTTACACCTTTTCCCCTGCCACAAACTCCTGCATCAGAGGAGTTTCCTGTAAAGATCTATATTGCCAGCTCATTGACTCCCTTTATCTCTCTCCATAAAACTCTCTACTGCCAACAATAAAAAAAACAAAACATTATATTAAAAGAGGTTAGTCACATCCCCAAAACATTTTTTTCCCAGTGCTGTGTCCACTAGTTATCATATTAACCCTATTTTGTCTCATTGTTACCTTGCAGTTTTTGTTTCCCACATACACCTATCTCTGGTTTTCTACTTAGATTTTAAGCTTTTGG